TGGGTTGGGTTGATCCAACCCAGAAACACGACCCGTTATTCAAAATAAGCAAATACAAATCAAACATGCATAAAGGAAACTTGCAACTAGAGTTCATGTCATTTCCAGCAGAAATATACATTCATCCAACATGCAAAAACAAATCAAACGTCGAACATTAAGGGGGATCTGGAGAGAAACGAAATGGGAACTTAGGGTTGCTATTCAGCCATTCAACAAAACAAACCAAAAAAAAAAAAGGCAGATAATCATCCATTCGAATTCAGATCCATGAAATTCATGCTTGATTTCATTCCCAATATCATCATTTAATACAACTTCAATACAGCAAAAATCTACTGCAAACAAGGCGAAATTTCTGAAAAAAAGCAAATTAAGATCGAAGGGAGGGATCCCACCCACGGGATCAAGCTCCATTCTTCTCCCTCACGGCTCTTCCCCAAAAATTCCTCTGTTCAGAAATTACCTAAGAGAATGAAACCCAGAATATGCTAACTCTCCGATGACTCCTCTGGAAGCTCCACAAAATCTCCCTTTTCTATTCTTCGAAAACCCAGACGAGAGTTCAAAAATCAGATCCAGAAATCAACCAAAGAACCCCCCTCCTTTTTCAATTTACCGGTTCTTCCTATTTATACCCAATCAAACAAAACCCTAACTCCCTTCTTCTCTCCTCATCCAAACCCTTCAATTTTTCTTTTTTTCCTTCCACCGTTGATCGGGTGAAGCCAAAACTGGCCCTGCAGAACAGCCAAGAAAGCTGGAGCGTGATGTCATCCTGCAGGTTTGTCTCATGCTCGGTTGGCTGCAGGGACAAAGGCGCAGCAGCAGGGTCAACGCAGCAGGGGGCGCAGAGCAAGGGAATCTGGGTGCGATCGGGGTGCACGCTTGGTGCAGCAGGGGCGCAGGGCGCAGAGCGCAGGGCCCAGGGGCAGGGGCCTAAGGCGCAGGGAAATCTGGGAAGGTTCGGGCGCGGGGGGAAGATCTTGGTTGCAGAGAAGGGTTTCCCTTTTTTTTTTTTCGTTTTTGTTTGCTTATTTTTTTGGTTTTTTTTTTTTTTTTTGAGATGTGATC